GGGGGGGGGGGGGGGGTTACTCTTGCAGGGGATACGTGGTTTCCAAAGCTATTACACACATCAGGTATTTTATAAGCTCCCACTTTCAGCGGGTGAAACACACTGTCTTTTTCAAAGGTACCGGGCATTGCCAGCTTGGGCAATGTTGGCTGCTTCTAAGTTTTCAGGGAGTTTTAGCAAATACTGTAGTCTTCTCCAGTTATTTTAACAAGGCCTGAACCTCTGGCTCGGCGGACACTTCCCTACTATTCTACTTTAACCATCTCATCGCTGAGCCACAGGGTTGGGAAGCAGCACAAGGTGGTCTGTATTGCTGCTGAGAATTTTGTCTCTGCTTCTGGGTGGGAAATGTATACATTTTCCTTCCAAGAGTGCTGATTGACGGGGAAAATCATTTAGAGAGGGAAAATCTCTAGAACAGTTTATCAGTGACATAAGAGACCACTCATAATTTGCATCTGATGTTGGCTGACCTAAAGTATCACCCAAGTTATCCTCAGTCACAACGGGTCAAACTGACGAGAACCTCTAGCCCCCAGTAGCAGCTTTGTCAGCCGGCTTTTACCCCGTTTGATTTTTCTGCCTCTAACCCACCTGGGCCAGCCCAGAAAGTCATGTACTATGCTATCGTGTAGAAAATATGCTAGAGTTCAAGCCACATTTATAAGCCACCAGGCAACAAGAAGTGTGCAGAAGTATGAATCGCAATTGCTGTGCAGACATTTTGCAGCCGTGTGATGTCCTGTTTTCCCCTCCAGATCGGGACTTGCATTGTACTGGGATTTTCCATAGCTGCCATCGCTGCATTATCTGAGCTGTGGGGGGATCAGTGGAAAACCGTCCGCCTCTCATTCCAGGTAAGAAGGGAGGGAAACTCCATGTCCCCAAAGGCAGAGACAGGAAAGCAAGAGTTGATTTTGTTTCCATTGATACATTTTCCCATTAGACAATGCAGTTTACTCGGAATCGAATTTTCCACATGAAAATGCCAGTTTCAGTTACGTTTTATTTGCCCACTTGGGGGCATAGACATGAACAAAAGTTTTGCTCCAAGACGTAGCTTTTTTTTCTTGCATATATCTCGCACCCCAGTGAGACGCACACCCTAGTTCTGGAAGGCGGAGTGTAGAAAGAAATTATTTCCAGATTCATGGCCGATACCTGGCTAAATGAGCAACTGGACATCAGTAGAGCTGCAGCCATTTGCACGAGGTCTGAATTTGGCCCAAAGCCTTTGAATTTGGGGCGGGGGGGCTGGACTCAATGATCTTCCGAGGTCTCTTCCAGCCCTTATGTCTATGAAATCTATTAAATTTATTAGGTAAATTCTGCCTTGATTTACACCTCCAATAATCTCAAAAGATATTGGGATGAGCATCAATTTATAGTAGCTTTGAAAGGGTTAACACTGGACTCTGCCCCTCCTGCTTGCTGGCAGGGAGAGAGAAGCTGGCTGGGGGCCATTTTGCAACATGGTGTCTTCATGCTTCTATTCCTCCCTGCTGCTATCCTGGCAAAGAAAACCAATTTCCCATCTTTAAGGCATGTACCCCAGTTGTGGAAGGCTGATTTTTTTTTTTTTGAGAAAAAAGGTGTGTGCAGTACAGTAAATTCACAGCCCTATGTTTCCCTTCCTATTTTGCACCAGATGTTTCAATCCCAGTGGTCAGTATGGCTTGTTTGTTGGTAGTGACGGTCCACTTCAGCTGGTTCACAGGAGATCAGGACCTCCTGGCCTGTAGCATCTACTGGGGCTGGACCCTCATGCGGCATGTCCCGATTACCCTGCCCCAGGGCATAAAGGGTGAATTGGGACCAGCAACAGATCCAGGATTTTATGAAATGGGGTGCGGCTGCAGGGGTGCTGCACCCCTGACTGCCTCCTCCCTTGCTCCCCCATGTCGGTGCAGGTGTCAAACACTGCAGAAGCAGCAGCTGAGGACTTAAGTCCCAGGCAAGGTAAGCATCCTCCCCCTTCATGATCAGAGGCACATCCCCTCCTCTCCCCATCCCTTCTTTCCCCCATTGCCCCCCTTCTCCTGCCTGCACTGCTGGGTGCTATCCTGGGCGTGAGAGGAGCTCCTGCCCACTCCAGCTGGGCTGCTGTCACCGGGGGCTCAGGCAGTGGCCAGGGGGCATGTTCCCCTCCCCATACCTGCTCCTGGGCTGGCAGTGAACACCCAGGGGAGCAGGCATGGAGGTGCAATGTGCCTGTCTGCTGTCACCACTGCACAATCCCAGGCTGAGCGCTGCCCTTGTGCAGCCCAGCTGGAGCAGGCAGGGAGGGCAAGGGAAGGGGATGTGCCTCTGAGCGCAGAGGGGAAGGGAGCAGGGGAATGCTTCCCTTCTTCGAGACTTAAATCCCTGGCTGCTGCTCCAGTAGCACGGTCAGAAACAATCTACACTCCCTCTGGATCCACCCTCAGCAGGCCCAGTTGTCCCTCAGTCCCTTTCCTTTGCTACCAGCTGGAGCTGTGAGCAGTGTGTCCACTTCATGTTGCACTTGTGAGCTCCACCGTGACATTACTGCATGCTGTTTTCCTTCCAGTGGAGGTGTCAGGTTATTGTATGGATCTCTCTGAGACTTTTCTGCCTGTCTCTGGCTTGGACCAGCTCCCTCAAAGCCACTGCTTCAGATGGCACAAAGCAGGGCTGCCTCAGATGGCACAAGCCTTGGGGCTGCACTAGTGTGGGGTCACATTATGCATGCACATGCCTCCCCCCCTCTTGCATGGTGTATGGGCAGTAGGATCTCCCCCACCTGTCACCCCATGCAGTGTGGCACCCATCTCCCCTGCAGCTCCCTAAGCTGCCCCAGTGCACCGTGGTGCGTGGGTGCTTGGGGCTGCCAGCTCACCCAGCTCTGCAAGCTGCTCCGTGCTGTCCCACTCCACCCTGTGGGGCAGGGTCCAGTAGCTGAAGCTGGGGAAGGGAGGGGGAGCCCAGCACATGGCCGAGGGGCAGCATGTTAGCCCCTTGTGGGTTGCGTGTGGCCTGTGGGCTGCCAGTTGCCTGGTACAGACTTTGCTGACACACTGCTGCCAGGCGGGCAGAGAGCAGTGATGGTCCTTGATCCTGAGGGACAAGTAGTAGGGCAGACCTCTCTGCAGGCTGGCACCATGCCTCCGACACTGCGACAAGATCAGTGGCAATGGCTGTGACTGCAATGGATGTCCCAGGGGATCCCCGTGGACCACAGCAGAAGGCCTTTATGTCGAGGACTTCCCTGTGCAGCTACAAACCTGACGAGTGCCTGACACTCTTTGGAAGACCATCCCCAAGTCCTCAGGGGCTTATACCGCACAGCTCAAGAGGGAGCCAGCAGGGCACCAGACCTCTTTGAGGCAGACAGCGCCTTACTCTTGGTCACCATGCCAAAGACCCTCTGAGCCCCTAAGGAAGAAGTGGAGGCTCCATGGGGTTAGCCCATCACTGCTTCCTCTGCAGGGAGACTTGCATCCACCTTGAGGCAGGTGGCTAGAGGGTTCAGCCTAGATCTACGCCTGAGGGATGCCTACTCTTTTCTCCACTCCATTCTGGGGCTATTCCTACTATTTCCAGGGGGTTTGGAGGAGCATCCTGTTGGATGGCCCCGTCCGAGAGAGATTCAAGCTCTGATACTCTATTTTGTTCCAGACTCTGCCTCTCCATCCCAGCCTACCTTCCCCACCCCCTTTCAGCTAGATCAGCTTATCGTCTCTCTGTGCAGGGTCTCAGTGTCCTCACATGCTACAGGGGCTAAGTTCCTTAATGGCCTAATGCTTGTATTTCCACCAGTGCAAGAATCGTCCCCTGTCTCCCACCCTCGCCATCCTGGACTCCTAGTGATGGGTCCCCATTTGGAGACCTTAGCACCATAGTTTTTTTATACCATCCCTTAGCAAAGACACCCTTCTTAGCGGTGGTCACTTTAGCCCATGTAGTAAGGCAGTGGAGGGCATTCACAGCGGACCCGCTGTCTTCTACAAGGACACGGTTGTGGTCAGGAGCTCCCAAAAAAGCGAGAGGAGGGACTTCACCCCTTGGAGGTATTTGGAGCTGCTTTATTCCACCCAAGAGAACCAAATCATTTCAGGGCCTCGCTGCCTTTGCCGCCACATTGTCTCTATTGATTACTAACCTGAATCTTGGACTGTATTCAGCCGTGCTCTCCTCTGGCTAGTGTACAACATCCCGGTCAAGTCCAAGCTCACTTCACTAGGTACCAGGAAGCTTCTACAGCTTCTTTCAGAAGTTTTCCCATTGACAAAATATGTAGAGCAGTTACCTGGGGACCGTATGGACTCTCTCCGGTGCTATTCCCTTGCACATGCATTGAGGCCAGTTGCCCATTTGAGCAGAGCTGTCTGACAGCTGTTAATTAGCTAGGCTCTGAGCACCCGCCCACACATAAGGTTGTTGTATGCGAGGCACTAGAAATAGGATAATTATGGACAAACACTTGAAGAGCTAAAAATAGCTTCCTTACAGTAACTGTGGTTCCTTGAGCTGTGTGGACCTTGTCTATATGTATCCAACCACCCATCCTCCTCCTTTACTGCTACAGCTTTCTATACCTGGTTTCTATATGGGCAAAAGAATTGCGGGAAAGTTTATCCCAGCTCAGCCCTTTATGGCCTTGAGTGAGTGGGGAACAAAGAGTCAGGGTCCAGGAATAGCCTGAATGAGCATTATGGGTGAAAAGACTCCCTTCTCGAGTGCAGACGCATGCCCGTGCCGCCAGCACAGTGATAATGGCACAGAGGGGAGGCATCTTTGGAAGAACGGCAGTCGTGCTAAGGCATGCGGCCACTTTGCTTAGCATTTGCCATTCGAAACTCTAAGAATTTTTTCATTTGGTGCAGTTTTGTTTGATGTGTCACCTCCCTCCCCTGGTCAAACCAGTGGAAACTGATTTTCCGGGGAGAATTTCCACAGGCTCCTGCATTTTTCCAGCCAGTTCTAGAAGTTACTCTCCATCAAATGTCTGCGAGTCCAGATACGGAGATGGGGAAATGGGTAAAAATAAGCTTCCTCAGCAGCAGCTGCTACCCAGTTTAGGAATCAAACTTGAGCTCAACATTTGAAAGGGTGCTTGGAGATGTCGAGACAACGTTTTCCATAGGAAGTTTGAGACTGGGCCTGTTAGGACTGCAGCTGATGGAGTGACTCCGTGGATTTGCATTGGTGGTAGGCTGTTATTGTATGGACTAACCTAGGGCTGTCCACATCCCCTGGCTACATGACGCATGGGCTGCATGCCCCCTGGTTGCGTGTCACACCAGGTCATGTGCCCCCACCCCTTGCCATGCTGCATGGTAGGCACTTCCCCATTGCACTGTGCCAGCACTCTCATGCCACCGGCTTCCCCGCTGCTGCACCTATGCTCTGGATCCCCAGGGTGCTCTGGCTGTGGGCTTTCTCAGCCCCATGGGCTGCCCTGCCCTGCCCTTCCACCCTTAGGTATAGGGGCAGACAGAAGGTGAAGGAGCAAGGGCGAGCCTGGAGACTCTGAAGGCAGCAGCAGGAGAGTGATGGAGGGAGCTGGGGGCCTGGAGGCTGCAGGTGAACCCTTTGGAGGCCACCAGTTAGACAGCCCTGGACTAACGGAAAGAAAAAGATGCAGCATAAAACTATTTTGAGCTTGGATAATGTTTTTTCCAACTGTGAATTTTGGCAGGTCCAGGTTTTAAAATGGACCAAGTATCAGAATAGCGTGAAAGAAAAAGTGGTAGATTCTCTGCTACATTTTTCCAGTTCTATGCAGAAGCAACTCCCTTGACTTTCATGGAGCTGCGCCAGCATACAGCGCAGTGAAGAACTTAACCCTCTCAGGGCAAAGCAAAAGAGGATAGTTTTGTGAGATTTCCAGGCCACTTGTGTATATTCATGATACTCTCAGTGAAGCTTCTGACCCTTTGAAGAGTTTATCCTTTCGAGTCAGAACTCATTTACGCAGGCGACAGCCGGTCCTCATGAATAGTCAGCTGATGAGATGCGAGCATTACAGCAGCTGGCTATTTTGTGCTGGAAAAGCAAGAAAGATTCCCAGCGTCACAAATTTGAAGCTTAAAAATAAAGAAGCAGCTAGAAATGCATCTGAATCCAAGTGGAATGGAGCTAAAAAGCCTGGGACCAAGTGTTTTATTTGAATGAAGAGGAGTGAAGGATTTTGAACTTTGCAAATTTATGCTGCAGAATATTAATGAATTAGACCAGGAACATCACAGAAGGGTGAGCTTCAAAAGGGTCTCAAGGGTTAACCCCCCTGGAGGACTGATTGGGCAAACAGGATTAATCAGAGCTATTACAATGACACTAGTTAATGTGATTGTACTGTTAGAGATTAAATGTCATCACTCATTTTGGGGCTATAATTACCCTTAGAGAATATAAGATCACTCTTTACAAGTACATTCAAGGGGGAAATATTAAGGAGGGAGAAGAGTTTTTAGGATGTAAAGCACCCCTGGCACAGTATTGAATAGCCATAGATTGGCTACAGAGTGGAAGCTAGATGACGTCCAGATATCAAAAGCATGAAGTTTTGCAATGATCTTCTCAGCCAGGTTAGTGGAGCCAAAGAACCTGAATCAGTTTGAATAACTTTATGGAAAGTTAAGACAGGGGGTTCTTAGTTAAACAATCAGCATGTGCAGTATTGGGAATCAAGTATGTGCAGTCACTTGTTAATCCAGGGATGGGCAATTATTTCGGGTGGAGGGCCGCTTACTGAGTTTTGGCAAGCCATCGAGGGCCGCATGACAGGCAGCCAGGGGCAGATAAATATTAATTTTCTAAATTTTTAGGGGCCCTGCGGGCCAGATAGAATGGCTTGGTGCACTGCATCTGGCCCATGGGCTGCATTTTGCCCACCCCTGTGCTAATCCCATGCTTCAGGACTTTTGCTGATCCACAGCGGGGGCAGGAGGGAATCTTTTCTTCCCTTCATTAATACTGGAGGAACGGGGGATGCCCTTTTGCCTCGCACTCAAGCTCTGTGTTAGACACAACTGAGACAAGGAAGGTGTTGACTGGAGTGCACCCAAAATACTTGGAAAGCTCAGGTTTCTGGCTAGAAAACCCTTGCTTCTTCTGCTTGGGGTAATACCAGTCACCACCTTTGCAGCCAGAAGGAATTTTACTCTGAGGCCAGGTTATTAAGGACCTGGGGTGGGTTTTGCTTTCCTCCCCAGTGCAGGGGAAGGAGTCTCTTTCTGGCAAGACGTTGGCAGTGCCCTCCACTCCCTTGGCTCTCAGCTGTGGGTTCTTGTGAGCTGTACCTGGGGTCCTGGGTCTTGTGCTTTGCAGTGGCATATTTGGGTTTCATGTGATGATTTGAGGGATTCCTTGGCTTAGTGATTACCTGAGTGGGACTGGACTTGATGGGCCTGGGGACCCCTTCCAGCCCTATGTTCCTCTTGTCTTGAGGATGGCCACCCAATCTTAGTAAGCAGTGACATTTGCAGCGTGGTCTCTGGACTTGCATGCTATGGCAATGGGAGCATAGAAAAAGCAAGATGGGGAGAAGAATCTGAGTTCAGCACCACACAATGAGCCATGAGGGAAGGGCAGTATTGTGATTGGCCCTCCTGGACTAGCTTTTGCTGATTCAGGAGGATCACACTGATTCTCCTTGGCTGGAACAGCTGACCCCCCATGGGATGCAGAAAATCAAGGGGAGAGGCATTTTCTAAGGGTTGCCAAGAGGTGCTGCATGCACCCAAGCCAGGTGTGTTATTGGAGAAGAAGCTTAGCAGTGACCCTTGGATGTGGAGGGATAGCTCGGCTGGCTCTATCAGTAGTAGGCCTCAAACATACCAGGGCTAAGTAGGAACCGTTTGTTTCTGCAGCTTTTCACAGCAATGCCTTGTATTCCCACCAGGTCACGGCTCCCTATCTCCACATTGGTGCCATAGCAGCCATGGTCTTTCTGTCCTGGCCTGTGGCTCTGCACGCTGTCCGGATGGATAGAAAAGGTACAGGAGGTCTGCGGGTGTGTCCTCGACTGCTTTGTGTGCATGGGAGAGATGGGGATACAGGCCACGCTTCTCAGAAATGGGGAATGGGTTTGCATGGCTCGGTTTCAGATGTCTTTAAAGGGGTCTCATTCTTAGAAGGTGGTTGCCCAGCCGCTCCCCACCCTCCCCTTCCCCTGCCAATGCCCTGGGTAGACATTTCCAGCAAGAACATTTCCCATACCAATGCAGTTTGGCTCAGCGATGCTGTTGCTGTCACATGCTTATGACCATGCGGGAACATGATCACACAGGAGTGCCAGCCCTTGACTTGTCCTTGCTGCAGACACCTGCATCCCAGCTGTGTGGGGCCTTTGAACAACCCAGCAAGACTTGGGTCCTACAATCACATCCCTTAGGTCGCTCCCCTATGGTCCAGCACCATTAGGGCTTAGTGAAGGGGTTACAGGCCAGGGCTAATGAGGAGGCCTTTTTCATGGGA